CATGTACTCTTACTTCTGGCATTCCTGCCCTTCATTACTTCCGGCATGTCTATCTCGACCTAACTCACTTGGTTGATTGGTATTAATGGACCTGCTTACAACATCCCTGAACTTCTGGCTATACTAGGTCCCTGCTTTCAACTTTCCTGTCAACCTAACATACCTAGTTTAGGAAACCGCTGCATGCATATCATTCAAACTCAAACAATCTACTTTGTACACTTCGGTTAAAATACAATAGAAGGTTCATCATTGTACTTGACCAGCAACTATGCAATGCCAGCACTGGACATTGGATTTAACCAATAACTACTCAACTCCAGCATTTTCACCGGACATGTGAACTGAACTTAGAAGCTGTGGACTTACATGCCAATTTAAACTACAAAGACTCTAGTCTATATACTAAATAAATTTTGTATTAAATTTTAAGTTTGTCATTTATTGTCCTCTTGTAGACCTGTCAGATTTCATGTCTTTAATTTATAAAATGTTAGTGGGTCTCTTGTGACCTCTATGCCTTATTGGGATGCACAGGCCATATTATATTGTGCCCCCCTCCAGGGTGTCCACTACAGGTGCTTGCATAATTTAACAAAACATGTTATTTTCATTGGACAGAAAAAAAACTACACTTAATATTATTTTTTAAAAATTAAGATTTTGAGATTAATTCCATTGCTGTTTGACACAAGACTTATTTGAAGATAAAAAAAGTGTAAAGTGTGAAGCTTTTTAAAAAGATGCAAAGAAATTTGTCCTGGTTTTCCCACATTAAAGGGTTGAGGTTAAAAATTGGGTTGAGGTTTAAAAAATTGCAAAAAAAAACGTGAGTAAAACAGCAAGATTAGAGTGGACAAACTCTCTCTTTTAGGCACGTATGGATAAAGAAAAAACTCCTGCTCATTGAGTAACAACAAAAGAAGAAAATGTTTATTTACAATATATACAGAAAAAAAGGTAAAGGGATGACAAGACGATTAGTAGAGAAAGAAAAGGAAAAGAGAAAATGTTCTTAACTTAAAAAAGGCTTGCTCAAAATATTTCTCTGAGCGCCTAAAGAGTTCTTTAAGCGATTAGAATATTATTTTTAAGGTTCAGATAGAAATACTCACAGTTCTTGTAGAGTGGGAAAATTATTCGCAGATGAAGGAATCCTGCAATTTGAGTGAGTTCATAGGTCGACGACAGAAGTCCAGTGTGCTCGTCAGAAGGAGTGGTGAAGGGATGCAGCTTTGGATTGGTCTTGAATAGTGGACCGATGTTTGTTCTTGACAGCCCTTTAGTAGTTCTTTGGTGAAAGAGGTTCTGGAGCTCCCTAATGTTGACCTCACAGACGGTGGGCAGATTTCTCACTGTCGAAATAGGCAAGATTCTCTAAATTTATGGAGTTTTGGGAGGCTCCGATGGATCGGGGACTTTTCCCTCCAAAATCGTTGTACAAATTTCCTGGCCCCTCTATTGGTCAGAAAACACATTCTTATCTCTGATAAGAATCAAGGTGTGGACTCTTCCACAACAAGCCAGTTAACCCCTGCTAGGAAATGCACTATTCCTGTTGTAATTTTCACCATCACTATCTTAAAAATATATAACAAGCATTCCTTGGTTAATCTCCTCAAAACTAGCTCGCTGACCAATCAAATTGCCTGCACGCAACAAATCTGTTTTCCTGTGTTCTCCATTTGAGCCTCCCACATGGTACAACTAAATTATAAAAACAGAACATGTGTAAACTCCCTTGTGTTTCTTTTTCTCTCTCTCACGTGCCATTTACCAAGATGTAATCTTCAAGAACTCCCGTCTTGACTGATGCAGTCAGACGTTAAAGACCATTATCAACATTCACGCAAGTACGAACTCTGAAATCTCTTCTGAACTTTTACCAACTTGTACAATACACAATTCCAAACATTTTTTTTTTTTTTTTTAAGCATTTCACCCCAAGCAAGGCGGGAAGCCACTAGGATGCAAGGGGTTACAGGAAATAGCAAGATCAGATAGGAGTGATAGAAGAAAGGATGAGGGTAGTGGATAGATCAAGGCAACTGGAATTGTTGATTGACATTACACTTGAATAGCTGGAGATTATAGCTCGCAGGGAAACAGGAGAAGGGAAGGGAGTTCCACAGGCGAGAGGTGCAAGACATGAAGCTATTAGAGTAGAAGAGACGGCTACATTTAGGAGTTTCGACAGTGAGGGGGTGAGAGCGGGATGCCAGCCTCGTAGGGTGCTGGAACTCATGACGTCTGGGAACCAGCGAATGCAGCTCCTCAGAGCAATTTCCATGAAAGTATTTGTAGAACAGACAGAGGGAGGTGACGACGCATCTGTGAGAAAGTGACTGTAGACGAGACGCCAGGGCAGGGCCAACCATATTGCATATCTGCCTCTGGAGCCTATCAAGAACCCCGAGGCAGACAGAAGGGGCGCCAGACCATATATGGCAGCAATACTCCATGCAAGGGCGAATTGTGGATTTGTATAGTTGGAGGATTGACTCAGGGGAGAAAAACTTCCTAGCGCGGCTCAGGGAGCCAACTTTCCTCGCAGTGGACGAGGCAATTGACTCGATGTATTTATTCCATCTCAGGTCAGCAGTCAACGTGAGACCAAGAAGCCGCAGAGAGTTGCTCTCAAGAAGTTGAGCGTCAGACATTCTAATGGAGGGAAGGGAAGGCTCTCTGTGGTGATTAATAGAGAGCAGTTTTGTCTTGAGCGTTGAAGTTGACCAGCCAATTCATGCCCCAGTTCACAATCGATTGGAGGTCCTTTTCGAGACGCACGGCAAGGTGAGTTTTGTCAGCGAGACTAGATTTGTTTTTGAGGCAAGAATAAATTGTGGTGTCATCCGCGTAGATGCCTACTTGGGAAGTTACGGCGTCGGGAAGGTCATTTATGTAGATAAGGAATAGAGTGGGGCCTAGGATGGAGCCTTGAGGGACACCTGCGTTCGTGGGATAGGAACTGGAGGAGAATCCGTTGAAAACGACCTTCAGTTCTCGGTTTGACAGGAATGATTGTATTACGTTATATAATTGACCCGTAATGCCATAACCCCGGAGCTTGTGCAGAAGGCCGGCATGCCAAACCCTATCAAATGCTTTGGAGATGTCAAGTGCCACGGCTTGGGCTTCTCCATTATTTTGGAGAGCTCGGTAGACTGTTTCAGTGATGGCTGTGAGCACATCGGCTGTAGATCGGGCAAAGCGGAAACCATATTGCTTGTCAGAGAGCAGATTATGGGATGTGGGTGGTTAACTACCCCGATATTGATTAGAGCTTGAAGACTTTGCGAAGAGGGAAGGAGACTGATAGGACGGTAGTTGGAAGGGTCAGAGGGGTCGCCGGAGTTCTTGAAGACAGGAACGATCGAAGAGGACTTCCAGCAGTCAGGAAAACAAGATTCCTTGAGGCAGTAGTTGTATAGTTTAGAAAGGGCGGGCGCCAGTTCAGGCACGCATTTCTTCAAGACAATGGTTGGTATCCCGTCACCGCCACTAGCTTTGTTGGGATCTAAATTAGAGATAACTCCCAGTACCAAAGATGGGGTTATGTTTAACCCACTCAATATGGCCTCAGTTCTAAGAGGGAAGTCGGGTATGGGTACACCGGAAGAGTCGAGCGTAGAGTTGAATGAAAATTTCCGAGCAAAGCATTCAGCCTTGTCGGTAGAGGAGGTCAGGACTTCGAACTGGTTGAATAAAGGAGGTATAGAGGGTTTGCAATTGTTCAATACGCTCTTGCAGAGACGCCAATAATCTTTGGAGCCAAATTTGCTAAAGAAACTTTATTCTTCCTAGACTACAATTTAATAATTACTTTCACTTTATGAACTTAGGTACAAATATTACCTAATCTAAGAGACACAACTCTGTCTAACCTTTTCACTCAGTATTCATGCATGTATATCAAATATTAATAAATTCAATTGTTATGATTTGAAACAAGATGTTTATGAATTATTATTTCTATGTCTTGTATTAATTGTTGTGGATGGAAGATTATTGAACACACACAATTTTAAGCCTTCTGATAATTCAAACCTTCTATTCCTCTCCAACACACATCACACACATCTGCAACAAAGGCCTTGGGAGCCGGTTTTGAAATTAAAAAGAGGTTGGAGTGGGGATAGAAAAAATAGCGAAAATGTGAACTTGTGAAATTGTTGTTCTCAAATTAAATTCCAACAAAGAATTTTATTTTATCTTTTTAGCAATAGTTAGATTATTTTTAGTATGGCTGTACAAAAGGAAATAATTTTCATATTTCGTGTTGACTGGCTCCTATTCAATATTAGAGGAGTATTATTAATCTAATTTCCTAATTCCCGTTCAGTCAATATAAAAAATACAATTATTCATTACTAATTTTAATAAAAGCGTAAAGTAAAAATATACATTCTTAAACTATTGGTTATATAAGGTTAATGAAAATTTAGTTTTAAACACAAATAAATTCTTGATTATAGCACTGCTGGTCTTCCGTACCTCTTTATTATATATATATATATATATATATATATATATATATATATATATATAAAATTTTTAAAAATTTTTTTCGCTTTTTCGAACAGGTAATGACTTCTACTTTATCTTTTGACCTCAATACGTTATTTTAATTTTTAAATTCAAAGGTAAGCATTACCTTTAGAAAATACAACTAATTAATTAATCCTTTTTAATTTATTAAAAATTAAAATTTAATTTACATTTCGGAAAAACGCATGGTGGTCTATCATAAACTTTAAAAATTTTGATAAATAATAATTTTTTCCTACCTCGATCAAAGTTATACAATAGTTCCTGGCACACAGTGTCGTCTGTTTTCAGGCTTTGAGTCTCACTCATAATTATTGTTCCATTAAACATTCCTCCGTCACAGAAAGTTAAAGCCGATACAAATTTATAATGATCCAAATCACCCCTCTCTAAAAGGATATTCATTTTTCTTCGTCAAACTGTGAAGTCACGTGAGTTTCAAAATGGCGCCTATGTTTTCCAATACAACCAGGTCTGTTTAATAATTTATTTACCTTTTCTGTTTTAATAAACTATTTCATTTAGTTTTACACTTGATATAATAAAATATGTTCGTACATCACATTAAAGTAATCGTTAATACCCTCTTTAGTTTCGTTAATTTGTTTCTTTATGTTTACATTGACCGATAGTGGTTCAGTTTGTAGCTCGATGTAAAATGGGGGGATCATTTTGAAATCTAAACTATATGCTGAACTGGTCACCCACTTTATGTCCAAATATTATTTTAGGGGCGTTCTCATTTTATTTAGTAATTCATTTAAAAAACATAAATTTATTTAAATTTACTGTTTATATACAATTGCAATAAAAATTTTAATAAATTATTTATAAACCTGTGATATGTTTTAACGAATATTTGAAGATATTTTAATGTTTAAAAATATTAAATTCGTCTGTGTTTTAACAGACGAATTTAAAAAAAGTAATATATATTTTTAATAATCATTTATTTTAATTTGAACTTTCTTAAACAAAACCCTTACACATTTGTTCAAATGAATTAAAAATACGGGAAAATAACTGTTCTTTTTTACATCTCTTCAACATTCTTGTTGAGAAATTATATTTCTTCGTTATAAATGACCGGAATTTATTTTCAACATCTCTTATTCAGAGATTTCAACTAGTCAGCTGTTTTACTGAGGTTGTTGTCTTCCTCTAAAATCGTCGTGTTAATTTTTTCTTGAGTATAATACAGAAAAATACTCACTGATGTTTTTGTTTTTTGTCTGTTACTCATTTCGTAGGGGTTTTAATTTAACCTTTAAATAGCTCTGTAGCTGTCTTGGTGTTTCTGTCCCCTAAAAAATTTAGGTTGTTACAACACCCTGGAGATTATTAGAAAGTGATTGTTATGAGTTTATTTAAATTATTAACAGATTTGTAAAAAATATAAATAATGATATTTTATGTTATGCAGCACTATAAAATCTAAAATTTCTCTATTCATTTTAATACAGCATCAAGAAAGCTGTTGGCTTCATCAATGAATTAGATTCCAAATTGTTTATGCCTCTATTGTCACGTATTTTGCAAAAGATACACTTGAAGGTAAGTGTTAAAAACCAGTAATTTGATTTGTCATTGAATTATGAAGTGAAGAAAAATTTTGATTTCATGTTAATTTCTAAAAATTGTTTTTTTAAAATAAAATTCGTAAACTTACTTTTAGTTTTTAAATAATGCTGAAAATTCCACGTTAAATTTTAGTTTTTGATTATAGTAGTCTATTGTGATTATCTTTAGAAAGAGTTAATTTGGCTCAGATAAAGTTTTGATAAGATTATCAACTCCTTCTTAATCTTTTTAGCAAATGTATTTGTTTGTAAATTATATATAAATTAATTTTGTTTTAAAATGCACCAATGTTCAAATCCTTCCTTCAAGATTCTTAAAATGATTGCAATAAAAATTTCATTCAAATGCTTTATATTATATGACACTTTGAAATTTAAGAAAAGACACTTATTGAATTTACCTTAAGGTAAATCTACTAATCATTTCTCATCATCAGTATCCATTGTCTGTATTGACAGATCAGTGTGCGTGAATATGTCTTTTAACATTATAAATGGTTTACACATAGCACAGTTTGTAATTAATTATTAAAACAAATAGTATGTTATATAATTTGAGACAACATTAATTGAAAACGAAGAAAAAAAGAAAAAAATTTTCATTGAATACTCAAACCTGTTTGTTTTTAGGGGAGGCAATTTTATTACAGAGTTGCTTCCCCTGGCAGTATACCCATCGGATTTCTTTTTCTGGGCTTATAATACATTTTCAGTTTCCTGGAAAGAAACGATTTGTATATTTAGAGTAAGAAGAATTGAACTAAATTATTTTCAAGTTTGTTTTCACTAGTCTAGGAACCTCCCCACATTCGCTAAAAAATGAGTATACATGATAAAAAAAGCCCCAAACTTAATAGGAAACAGATTTTTATTGTCAAAATCTCTGTTATTAAAAGGAATGAGTAAAGTATTTTTTATTATTAAATTATATTTTTTGATCCTTTTGAGAATGTTCGAAATTTTGGTTAAAACTCTTGTTTTTCTTGGGTCAGCTGGTGACCAAAGATTAGTATAGAAAATATTTGTCTTGAAAAAAGTTGATTTGAAAATTCTTGCAAAATCAAATAATTGTTGGATTTTAATACTTTCAGGTAGGTACCTCCACTCTATAGCCTCTTGATTTAAAAAAAAAAAAAAGAAAAAAAGAGACATTTATTTTGAGCAATAAATATATTTTTTTCAACATAATCTCTTTCTTTTTAATGCACTTAATTAATTAGTACATATTAGTTCCATTGATTGAACATTATACAGTGAAAACTTTTGATCAAAATTCATAACTGTGTGTCAAATCTTTTCTATTTTCAGGATGAGAGGTCCTTTACAGAGGAAGAGGAAGAGAAATTACAGTCAACATTTAATCTCCCAGCAAATGACTTAGAATTATTATTAGAAACATTGGAGTTTTTTCTACAACAGGTTTGTAGAAACTTTTAATATTTTATATGCTGATTGCATACATTTCCATATTTAGAATAATTATTACAAAACTAGGATTGTGGAATTCATTGACAACACTATTGTCTGAAGGTTTTAAAATATATATTTAACCAAAAAGATATATGGAGAAATTTGAAAACACTATTTTAGGGTGTTCAAAAGAAATCTGAAATGTAAATTAATTTGACTTTGTCTTGATTGATTCAAACTTGTGTGCTTAATTTGTGTTTGTGAAGTGTACTGAAAAATTCTTGGCTCACTTATAAATTCCTTAGAAAAAAAAATCTGATGTCTGGTCATTTGATCAGATTTTGGGAAGTAGGTTGGGTCCAAAACATTTCGGCATCCACTTTTAAAATAAACATAAATATTCAGATAAAAATTTTCTTTTCTGTTTTCATTTGTTTATTTTACAATCCTATTTGTACGGTATATATTGATGTGGTAGAAGTCATAGAATAGATCTCTAATAGTGTATGAACCCCATTTAGCCTGGTCAACATGACATCAATTCCACAAATGGTAGAAAGAGCTCTGGAGAGATATTGAGCTATGCTATTTCAATAGCTATCCACTGCTTCCTGATATTTTTTGGTGCTGCATATTAATAGACCTTTCCACCATGTTTCATAAATGTCTGACTGGGCTCATGTCAGTTGAACATGTTGGCCAGGCTATTTGTTGGAATTCTCCAGAATGCTTCAACAAATTCTGGGTAACTTGTGTCTGGAATAAACCCATAGTTGTTGGGGTACATGAAGTTCATGAATAGGTGAAAAGGGTCAAGAAGCAGTGGTCACCTGGGTGGACTAGTGTGCCTAACCTATACCATGTGAACATACTCCATACCATTATGGAACAACCACCAATCTCTATAGTACCTTGTCAACAACTAGGCATTCATGGCCTCATGAGGTCTATGCCATACCATCAACTTTCAACTACTGGAATCATGACTCATTGGACTATGCCACCTGCTGTCAATTTTCTAATATTCAATTAGTGTTACCACAAGCCCAGGTTAGGCACTATATCTGGTGTTGTGTTGTTAACAAGGCTACTGTGGTGGATCATCTTCCATATCTCATGGAAACTGACATGATGGATATGCATCTGGTACCTTCTGCATGAAGTGTGGATGTCATTTTAGCCAGTGTTAGTTGTCTGTTACTGCAAACAGTTTTCACTAGATGCCTCTGGTCATGATCATTTTTGGCCACAGCATTGTCTATGGTGAGCAGAATACCTTCCATCAGGTATTCTCCAGTACATATCTGACACAGTAGGTCAAGGGATATGAAATGTTACCACAATTTCAGATGTACAATATCCCCCATCTGTTTGGTATCTACTATTATACACCATTTGAACTCTGATAATTCCCATCACCTTTATAGTGTTCACACTGACTTGCCAGATAGAACTGATATAGGTCTGGATATTTTCATGATGTCAAGATATAATGGTGTCACCATTACATACTTTTAACCCATGTCAGTGTATATTCATTTTTGTTGATTTCTGCAATCACTTCTCAGTTTCTTTCATTAGTCTTAATATAACAAAATATTTGTTAGCTATATACAAGTCTTCACTTTTAAATAGCAGAAAATGCAACAATAGAATAATTATATTTTATCCAATATTTTTTCTCTTTACTGCAACCATTTTGAAAAAGTGGCATTATTGAAATTCCAATTTATTTAAATCAGAAGCTTTTGTCAATCATTCAATTAATGAAATATATTGCATAAAAAGAATTTAGAAATTTTAGAAAGTTAGCTTTTGAATAAAACTTTGGCATTTGTTTCTTTTTACATGCCAATCTTTTATTAGATGAAGAGGAAAATGTTTTTATAGATCTTAAGAGTGAGTAACTTGATATGCGAAAAGGTATTTTTGTTATGGTTTGAAGGAATTTTCTTTGTGCTTTTGTAAACACAAATGAATTTTTAAATTTTTTTTTTTTTTTTACTGGTATTCTATTTTCCATGTTTGTAAATTCTTATATCACTTATTAATGTGTCTCTATTTCTGAGATGAGGTATTGTAATTATTTGCATTGTTTGGACTGTTGAACTCAATTGGGTATTGAGGTACTGAACTCAAGGACACATGATTCAGTGGATAAAAGCATTAATTGGTTCCAGTAATTTGTCCCAAAGTGTTGTGAGTTCAATACCTGGCTACTGTAGTGGTGAACAAAAACTTAGAGAGTTGTGTTAAAGGGAGATAGCAGTCCAATCAATGTAAATCACTTATTAATCATAATTTGTTTATAAAAGAAGCAAATCATTAAAATGTTTTTCTACTTACAATATCTTTTTGACTCTACTGTTTCAAGTTTATTTTATTCCTGTTGCTATAATTTATATTTAGTGACATCTTTATTTTTCTACAACCAGAGCATTGTAAAATAGAAGTGTTAAAATATTGATTTGAGCATGGAAAAATAGCAAGAGAATTATTTTGTAAGAAAGGTATCTTTTTAAAAAAAAGAAAATTAAATCTATCTTTAAAAAAAGGCTAGATTGTCATGTTTTTTCTATCAACCATTATATATATATATATATATATATATTATTTATCAATAGATAAACTACTATTTAACTCTGTAAGTATTTTAATTTATTTTTTGTAATATTAAAATGTATGAATTGCTTGTGTTCTAATTTGTGCCCCATAGTATTTTCATAGGAAGCTTTAGTAGTCTAGAATACGTTTTTGTACACTGAAAAAATAGATCATTGCTTTTATCACAAAAAAATCAAACCAATTGCCACTGCCATGAAACCTTTAATTTTGAAACAGATATGGCTTATCTCCTCTATTCATACCTCCTTATAAATTAGATCAAATTCAGGATAACTGTTTAAAGGACTGAGTGAATATATTCTTACTATGACTGTTGTAAGAGATTTATTAAAACTGAGACATCATTTCTCTTTGAATTAAAATTGTGAATTTTATTTTGAGATATAAATCATTTTTTGTACCTTCCACAAATTAACAAATCTAATGCTGTCTGAAAATGTATTAATTCTACTTCTGCTTAGAACAAAACAATTACATCCACTTTTCAAGGCTTTTGCAATTGATTTATTTTGAAAAATATATCATAATGTTCAAAAATAGAATTTTTTAAAATTTTTTTTTTTATTTCAGATTAGTTTAGCTTTCATTCTATTTTCATTGTGTTCCCTTCTCTTTTTTTTTCTATTGTAATGGCCAGGTCATTTTACATTCTGCATCGGATCCAGGCTGCTTATTTTGTGGTCATAAGATGTAAATAGCAATGAAAATTGAAGAAAGATTAACTTATCTGAAATTAATAATAATGAAAATGTTTCATTGAAGAAATTCAAATAAGAACATAAGTGTTGTTATTATCTTTTATTATTTGATCTGTATTTTCAGGCTGCTTATCATCTTGCCAAACCAGCTGTGCTAACACAACAATTGCTGAGTCTTGATATCAACGAAGACAAAGTAAGATATATTCTGCAGTTTCTGTTCTTTATTGTAATTTTTTTGAACCCTATTTTAAATATACCTTAGATTAAGTCAGCTTTGGCAGAAGGCCAGATCTATGGCGCACACCGAGTTGCAGCAATATCTTCTGGTTAGTTATTTTTATTTTGCTTATATTGAAAACTATAAAGAACTAATTATTGAAAATACTGTTTGGAAGACGTACAGACATACAACTCTTATTACTTTGCTTGAGAAATTAAAAATAATGCTTGTAAAAAAAAAAAAAACTCCACAAAACCACCCGTTTAAAATGAATTTTTAATAATGTGGACATGAAAATAAGACTAACCTCAGTTCTCGGCATAAGAGGGTTCGTTTGTGTCTGGCGTGTAGGGCAGTAATTGGTCTGAAGAAAGAAACACCACCATTACGGTGAGTCGGACTTATGGAAACGCGATCTCGTGAGTCATGAGGATTGGCGAGAGGAGAACTTGGGCGTATGCAAATTGGTTGGTGTTAAGCTGGGATAAATGTGACGCGGGAGACCACTTGAAAGAGTTGTGTGTAGCGAACTATGAGGCGGTGTTGGAACATTTGAGTGCAAAGATCTGTGGAGTTGTTGTAGCTGGATTGTAGCTGTCGTTAAGCTGAGGAGTGTTTCGGAAGTAGGCGGTGCCGGGCCAACCCGCTCCGTCCTATTGTTTGGACCTAATTTTCTGAGACCAACCTGTTCCCTTCCTATTGTTTGGACCGAATTTTGCGACAAGCTATTTCGCATAATGGGGACAGATTCGACCTGAAATTGATTCCGGAGTTCGATGGCTCAACCCGGTACTTGACTGGGTGGAAAAAGTGGAATTGCATTGCCTCTTGTCTGGCATAAAGAGCATTGAACATGTGATTCCTCTGCGGCTGTCTGGCGGGGCTTTTCGCTGTGTTGTCACAGGAAGAAACAATAAAAGAGGGACATCGGCGTACCTTGATGATATATATATGTGAACGAAGACGTTGTGTCGTCATCACGCGCGAGGTCCAAACTGGCTGAGTTTGGTCTGACTTGTAAGGACCCAGAACGTTTGGAGGATGGTGCCCGTGTCTTGGGCCTGAATGTTCAACAGGAGCGAGAGACCTTAAAATGGGGGCGCGGAACTGCAGTTCCTGAAGTACCCGATGTCTTCACGAGCTATATTCTCCCTGTGTGGAAGACTTGTGGGGCATCTACCAGTGTGTGGATGGACTCGTGTGTGGCAACAGGCACCATAAAAAGAAGGGCAAGCGCAGTCACCAAAGGCTGGGACGATGAAACAACGGACGATCTGTTGGTTCGCATGGTGAAGGAGACCATCGCAAGAGTAAAGCAGGATGACCCCGCCAAAGGAGACTGGTGCGTGCAGGGAGACGAACTGAACGTGTGGGTGGATCACGAGCTCTCTGGCGATTGGTGTGCTGTTGGAGAAGAATGGGGCTGCGATTGAGGACGCCTGCTGGTTGCGACTGGTGAATGACGCTGCTCATATCAACCTGGCAGAGCTCGATCACGGTGATAAAGGCATCAACCTGGCACTCCAGTGGAAAGTTAAGAAATTGCACATACACACTGATTCGTTATGTGTACCACTGGATATCGGACACACTGACAGGCAAGGCCAGGGTGCGTACCAAAGCGCTAGCGAGATGCTGATCAGACGGAGGTTGGAGACCATAAGAAAGCTGGTAACAGAGTACAACCTATCTATGGATGCGGTGCTTGTCACCTCAAACTGCAACCTTGCTGATAGGCTCACTCGTGTGCCACAGAGATGGTATGGCGCCATGAAGAAAGAAACTGAGCCAGTACTGTTACTATGTGCTGCCTCTGTTAAGGCGGCGGACAAAATCAAGGAGATACACCACAACAGTGGGCACCCCGAGTGAGACGGACATGCTATTTTGTACAGTTGACCAATCCGTCAGTGTCCAAAAAGTGAAGTCAGAGCGGTGGTGAAGGAATGCCAAACATGCCAGTCAATCGACCCCGCCCCAGCTAAATGGCGGAAGGGTCGGCTGGGGGTAGACACGACTTGGGGCCGACTGGGTATGGACATAACCCATTACGGCAGCCAGCATTTCCTCACACTGATAGATTGTGGACCGACGAGGTTCGCAATCTGGCGCCTATTAGTAAGACAGGACTCATCCAGTGTCATCCGAGAATTGAGTCCATATTTTATGAAAGGGGGCCGCCTGAAGAGATCCCTTACGGATAACGACCGCGCCTTCTGCAGCGGGAGTTTAGACGTTTCATCCTACGCAGTGGGAATCCGACTCAGACACCGATGTGCATATGTGCCGAGTGGCAACGGCATAGCAGAGCGGTGCCACCGGCGTGAAGAGGATCGCAGCCAGGAAGCAGTGCGATAAGCGGAGGCGGTCTATAGATATAATTCAACACCAAAGGATGCCGTGACTGCTGCAAAGCGCACCCGCCAATGCAATCCATCGCTACCAAGCGCGCAACAAAGGGCATTGACGTGTCTGCCTGATCGGCCGGGAAACACGAGGCCGTATAAGTTAGGGGACACCGCCTGGGTGAAGCCTCCCAATAGCCGGTGCACCACCAGCTTTCAAAGAAAACGAATCACCGGCATCGTCAATGAGCAAGCAGTGCTGGTCGATGGTACTCCACGCCATGTGAAGGATGTCCGGCCCGCCCTAAATACGAACCAGTTGACTAGTAGCAGCGGTGGTGAATCATCCAGCGATGAACTGTGGATCCGACCTATGCCCCTCGGGCCTGATGGTTTGACTACGGACCCCGACGCTGATGCTGATAGTTCTGACGCCCCTTCTGAGAGTCCCGATGAAGAAGTCCAGACAATCCCCTTCGTAGGAGTGCCCGCAACAAACGACCGCGTCCGCAATGCCACATGTGTGATCTTGAGACCAGGGGGGTGTGGACATGAAAATGAGACTAACCTCAGTTCTCGGCATAAGAGGGTTCGTTTGTGTCTGGCGTGTAGGGCAGTAATTGGTCCGAAGAAAGAAACACCACCATTACGGTGAGTCGGACTTATGGAAACGCGATCTCGTAGTCGCGAGGATTGGTGAGAGGAGAACTTTGGCGTATGCAAATTGGTTGGTGTTAAGCTGGGATAAATGTGACGGCGGAGACCACTCGAGAGAGTTGTGTGTAGCGAACTACGAGGCGGTGTTGGAACATTTGAGTGCAAAGATCTGTGGAGTTGTTGTAGCTGGATTGTAGCTGTCGTTAAGCTGAGGAGTGTTTCGAAGTAGGCGGTGCCGGGCCAACCCGTTCCGTCCTATTGTTTGGACCTAATTTTACGAGACCAACCCGTTCCCTTCCTATTGTTTGGACCGAATTTTGTGACAAATAAAGAAAAATCTTGCTTTAAGGTTTTATTTTAGTTTTAATTTCAAGCTGAGGGATTAAATTTAATATTTGCAATCAACAAAATACTATGCTATATTTCAAAACTAATCTAATTTGATTAGTTGAAATTATCTTTTGAAATTTGTAAAATTTTTGTTGGTACCATTTTTAGCAAAGTGTTATAAAAATGTAAATCTCTTTATTAAAAAAAACTTCCAAAAATAAAATATACTTTTCTGAAACTGTATTTGAGGAATATTAACTGATTTAAACTATAATTAATTTAATTTGAAACAACTATTATTTTTTTAAAGTTTAAAATATCAGAGAAATGCATTTTTCAACTCTATGGTAGCTTGTTTATTTATGTTGACAGGTTTTTAACACTTCTGTGACAGCCAATGACAGTTTGTTATGTAATGTTGTTCTATGGAGGACTTTAACTTAAAAAAAATAATTGAGGAATATAATGTGAACACCTTTTAAGTACTTGGTAATTTTAAAAATTTAAGAAAATATTCTCTGTAATCTAATGTTTTATTGAATTTTGGCTCTAAATTTACTATAGGTATTGCTCTTATTTTCTAATAGTGTTGTGGGTGGGCCACCATCTTTTTACTCATACTAAAAACAATTCAGAATTCTTTTAAAAATATTTGGAAGTGCCAGATTGTAATAAGTTTTACGATATATGATTAGTAAATATAGTTTTACTTATTAACAATCTTTCCCAAGAGTTATACCATTGAAACTGAATTTTAAAAGATTTAAAAATATAAATAATTCTAATTAAAATTAAAAAGAAAATGGAAACAAATTTTATAAATTCATTGAAAATTTTTTTTTTATTCAGACAATATTGTCCTTAATATATATTATTCATAGAAGCAATTAAAAGCTTCTCTAATTAATTAATGTCTTAGTTTTATTGTGTTTTTTATTTTTTGATTCAGAGCAGATGTTCAGTAAGATGGAGTCCGATTTTGAAAAAAATATTGGTGATTTAAAGTCTTCAAAGAATGCTGCTTTTAACTAATATAGTCACTAAAAGTTATCATTTTGAATTTCTCAAGTTTTCATAAAATTAAGTAATTTTTTTCATATAATAAATATTTTTACCAAGAAAATAACTTCATTCATTTGTGAATAATTCCTGAAAATTTCATTAAAATCCGGCAATTATTTGATTTTTACAAGAATTTCCAAATTAATGTGTCTGTAACTGAAAAAAAGGGGCAAAAATTTGCATATTTTCGAATGTTCTAAAATGGATTAAAAATTTAATTAAATCTCGAAAAAATACTTTGATCCTTCTTAATAATAACATAAGATTTTGACGATAAAATTATGTTTTCATTACGATAACTGATTTTTTTAGTAATTTCGTAGAGGTATAAAGGGGAGTAACTTTTTCTCAATTATTTCCCTTGAAAACTATCAAGGGGAAATAATTGTTTCACTGAAAAAAAAAAGGATACATTTTCGAATATCTTTGGAGATGAGGTAATTATTATTATTTATTTTTGTTTATTTTTAATTTTTTAAAAATAGAATGAAATAAACTGAAATGCCTAAAATGTAAAAAGTATTTTACTGGATGGTTTTACCTTCCCTGGTTGGCATAGATGGTAAAATAAAATAGGTA